TGAATGCACTAGCGGAGCTGGCGCAGTCGGCCCAGCACCCCTGGTGCAGGTGTTTACGGCTGAGGGGTGTGTGTGTGGGGGGGGGGGCAGCCACGTGTCCCTCGGGAGGCGATGGGTTGTGTGGCTGGGAGGAATGAGGTCTCTCCGTTTGCTGTTGACTTTGGTTCCTGTGACACGAGTGCTGCCCGTAGCAAGTGAAAAAGCCGTAGAATCATGTGTGTGAAACCACTTCTGTTCAAGAGATAAAGCGAACAACAACTAAGGAGAAAAAGAAAGGAGATGGGCCCGCCTGCCTCTGGAGTGGGGTGATGGCGGAGCCCACCTGCCTGGGGGGCGCAGGGACATCCTGGGGGGAGGCCCTTTCAGTCCCCACCTCGGTGGCCAGGGAGGGCCACCCTGTGGAAACCGGGGGGCAGCCAGGGTGGGGCTGGGGCACCAGGAAGGGTTACCCAGCCCTCGGGGCAGTTACTCACGCAGCTCACAGATCAGCTGCCACACGCCTCGCGCCCCACTCCCCCAGGGATGCTTCGAGAAGCCATCATTGCAAAGCCGAGCTCGGGCCCTGCCCATGCCAGCTCAGGGCAATTTCCCGTGGCCCCGGGGCCGGCAGGAAGCTGCCGCACTCACAGAGAAGGGACCTGTGAGCCAGGAGGTCACGGTTCGATTCCCAGTCAGGGCCCAGGCCCAGGTTGTGGGCTCGATCCCCAGTAGGGGGCCTGCAGGAGGCAGCTGATCAATGATTCTCTGTCATCATTGATGTTGCTCTCTCTCTCCTCCTCTCCCTTCCTCTCTGACATCAATAAAAATGTATTTTTTTTAAAGAGAGAAAAAAAGAAGGAACCTGAGGCTCAGAGACGCCCCGGAGGCAGGAGTGTGGGTGCCCTCCCCAGGGCGGGCTGCTCCCCTAGAGAAAGGTGGGTCACCCCGGGCCTGGGTTCTGCGTCTAGCAAGGCCTCCTTAGGCGTCCACCCTCCCTGCCCGGGATTCCGACTTGTGTTTGTGAATAAACATACGTTGAGGTTTGCGGGCTCAGCGGGTCCCTCTGACCTGCCTCCGAGGCTCGCAGGGCAGTGCGGGCCGGTCAGCGCGGGCAGGTCAGCGCGGGAGCACTGAGGGCGGAGGCGCGGGGGCGGCCACGGCCGGGGAGGTGAGCCATGTGTTCCCTGAGGCCTTGGCCCTGGGCCTGCCCGTGTCTGTGTGACCTCATCACTGTCCCGAGGTCACTGGCTGGCCGGCCAGGGCTCCGCCGTGTTCTTACCACCTCCTGTTCCCTCCTCTCTCTGTCCAGACTCTGGACTCTGCCCACACTCTGCCCACCGTGCCAGCTGGAGGGGGCAGCGCCTGCAGGGTGAGGAGCAGCTGGTTCAGCAGAGACCCTGGCACCCAGGGTCCCACAGTGACGCCAGGGCGGGCGGGCCCACGTGTATCTGCAGTGCCCAGCCCTGGAGAGCCGCCAGCGGGGGGGCCAGGTGCTGCCGTGACCACATGTCATGGCCGAGACTCAAGGACTCCAGGAGCCCAGCCCACGGTGCCCAGCCCAGGGCATGTGTAGGGTGCCAACCCCAGTCCCGGGGCGGTAAAGCCTGGGCCCCCTGACCCTGAGCTGCTGCCTGGAGCTGGGCCGGACCCTCTGGAATCAACATGGGTGCCCCTGTGTGCACAGATGACAGTATTTTTCTAGTGCAAAACCAGCCTTGTCTGACCATGGGCTCCAGTCCCGGTCAGGGCACAGGCCCAGGGTGCGGGCTCGATCCCCAGTAGGAGGCGTGCAGGAGACAGCCGGCCCATGATTCTCTCATCTTTGATGCTTCTATCTCTGTCTCCCTCTCCCTCCTCTCTGACATCAATAAAGACATATTAAAGCAACAACAACAACAACAACAACAACAACAACAACAAAGCCGGCAGAGCAGCCTCCCCTGTGAGGGCGAGAAGCCACCTCCCCTCTGGACGCTGTTCTCATTTGTCGCCTCAAGTTTGATCTGCCAGCTGGGGCCGCCCCTCCACCCAGGAACCCACGCAGCCGAGGCCTCTCCCTCCACCAACTTGCGGGGTCTCTTTTTCTGGGTGGGAGGTGTGGGCCTGGAGTCTCAGTCGGCCTGGTCTCCCAGACCCTCTGCCCCGCCCCCTTGGCAGTGGGGTGGCTGCCTGGGGTGAGGTGGGCAAGCGCTCCCACCCACCATGAGAGGTTTGGGCAGGGAGAGTGGACTCCTCCCTGCCCACTGCCCACGGGCAGATGTTCTCAATACTCAGTGGGCACCTCCTGTGGGCCAGGCCCCCTGCAGGCCTCCCTGGGTCCTCCCTGGATCCTCACGACATCAAGTAGGTGCTATTATCATGCCCATTTTACAGATGAGCAAACTGAGCCCCAGAGAAGACATAGCTGGCGGAGTGGCGGAGCCCAGACGCAGCCCAGGGCATCACTCTGAAGTGCCTCCTGTCGCCACCCGCCACCTGCCCTCCCGCTCCACAGCGGAGCGTCTCCCTGGTGCATCTGTTCCCATCTGCAGCCCCCGGTGCCCAGGCCCACCCTCCGTCCCCTGGCTGGAGCCGTCTCTGTGAAACCTTGTGCCAGGGAGGCCTAGAGACGGAGCCGGGGCAGTGGGGGAGTCGAGGCAGTGGGGTAGCCGGGGCAGTGGGGGGAGCCGGGCCAGTGGGGGAGCCGGAGCAGTGGGGGAGTCGGGGCAGTGGGGGAGCCGGAGCAGTGGGGGAGCCGGGGCAGTGGGGGAGCCGGAGCAGTGGGGGAGCCGGGGCAGTGGGGGAGCCAGGGCAGTGGGGGAGCCGGAGCAGTGGGGGAGTCGGGGCAGTGGGGGAGCCGGGGCAGTGGGGGAGCCAGGGCAGTGGGGGTGCAGTGTGGGGTTGGCCGAGAGCGTGGGGCTCCTTCTCCAAGTTCCCCTGGGTGCCCGGGAGTTTCTCGGATTATTCTCGTGGGCCCCCTCTCTTCTGGAATTGAAATCAGTTCGGAGCGTCTCTCTGGCAGTAAAGCATCGCCGTGCTGGGTGCTGGCTGCCGTGCCCGATGCATTGCGGGGGGGGGGGGGTGTCTGGGGCATCCAGGCCACACGGATGCAGGAAAGGGCAGGCGCTTCCCTGCAGCCTCAGGCCCTGTGGGCCCTCGAAACGCGAGCTTCCCTGTGGCCCAGGGAGCACTTCCCACCTGTGAGCTGCGCTCTGAGCCCGCCGTGGCCCTGCCCTGAGGGGCCCCTGGACCGCTCACTTGGCAGCCCCTCGTATCCATCCCTGCAGCCCCCGACCCCCTGGCGGGAGCCTCCTTTGGCCTCTGTGGCGATGCCAGGGTGGCGTGCACATCGGAGAACTGACTGGCTGGTGGGCGAGGGCTGCCTAGGGGCTGTCCTGGCTCTGACCCTCGCCCAGCGCCTGTGCCAGGCACCGGGATGGGCGGGGCTTCAGGAAACACGGAGGGAGCCCTGAGCGGTGGGAGGCAGAGGAAGGACCAGGTGCTGCTGATGCCAAGCGCAGCACCAGGCCTGAGAGCCGCGCAGAGGACGATGGCGCTGCCCAGGCAGGGTGGGGTCGGGGGCCTTCGTGGAGGAAGGGGCGCGTGAACCAGGCCCTGCAGGATGAGTAGGACTCGGCCCTGGGGACGTGAAGGCAGCCTCGGTGAGGAGAGGCCTCCGGGTCAGCGGGTGACAGATCCCGTAGGCGCCGAGGGAGGGCCTTGTCGGGGGCCCCTCCTGCCCCTGCCAGCTCCCCCGCGGGCCCCTGTGGCCAGTGGAGAGGGCAGCAGCCACGCCAAGGTCAGCCAGGTGCCCGGTGGCCGCTGGCCTGTCCTGCGCCCCACGCTAACCAGAGGCTCCATCGTTTCCGGGTGAGCGCCCGGCAGATGCCGACAGCCAGCAGATGGGCGAGGCCCGGGCTGATTTGCAAGGGACCGGCTCTGTGATGCACGTAATTGCATCAGAGTGTCCCTGCCCGCCAGGACGAGGTAAAGGTCAGTTCACAGATGCGGTGCGGCCGCAGGAGTCGGGGCGCGTCCACGGGCTCCTGAGGGGCAGCGGCGAGGCCTCAGCGGGCCCTTCAGTGGGCCCCTGTCCCCCAGATTTGGGGCGATGGGGGAGAGGTGATAACATGGCCTATCCCAGAGCTCGCCTGTCCCTGGTGCTGAAATCCCTTGGAGTCACTCCCCTGGGGGCCCTCGCTGGCCCGGCTCGGGCTTTCCTGACCTCCCGGATTCTCACGTCCAGGCCTCCCAGGCCAGCGTGTGCCCTGGGGCAGCAGACCCGCCGGGGGCTGAGGGGCTGGTCCTCTGGTTGGGCGGCCGTAGCAGAACACGCAGGCAGGACGTAAGCAACAGAATTCTGTTTCCCGGAGTCCGGAGGGCGGGACGTCCAAGATCAAGGTCTTGGCAGATGGTTTCCGGTGGGAGTTCTCTTCCTGGCTTGTAGGCACCCACCTTCCCCTCTTCCTCCTCCTCCTCCTCCTCCTCCTCCTTCTCTTTAATTTCAGAGAGGAAGGGAGAGGGAGAGCGGGAAAGAGACATCAATGATGAGAGAGAATCACGGATCGGCTGCCTCCTGCACGCCCCCCACTGGGGATGGAGCCCGCAACCCGGGCCTGTGCCCTGACCGGGAATCGAACCCTGACCTCCGGGTTCATAGGTCGATGCTCAACCACTGAGCCCCGCCGGCCGGCTGTTCCTCGGGCTTTACAGCAGAGGTTTTGGGTGGACGCAGGTTGGTGTTTCGATGGGACCAGAGGCCGCAGTGTCCCGGCGTGGGTTCTGTCATCTCGTCGTCTCGCCGGCTCCTGAAGTCGCGTTGGGAGCAGATGTGCGGCTCTGTCACCTCAGTCACACGATGCTCACTGTTCTGAGAAGGTCGCGTCGTAACTCATCAGCAATAATTAGTCCCCGGGCACCCCCGCTTCTCCCCTCAACGGCTCCATTAACTTGGGTGTGAATCACACTTTCCGGGCGCCAATCAGTGAGGCTCTGTCTGTGAGGTACAAGGTGATGCTATTAGTTACAATAATTAACTGCCTAATTAAAAACACAAAAGCTGTCTTTATGAAGGGCAATTAACCGTGCGCATGACGGGCCATCCATAGCCCTATGATTAGGAAAGACAAATACTAAGAACGGGCTGAATCACGGGCCGTTGATGAAGGCCCTGTCCGCTCCCAGTCTGTGTCCGCGCTCTAGTCAGCAGCTCTGCGATTTCCTCCCAAATCTTGTGTGTCAGCCACAGAGCCCGTGGCCCACGTGGCCCGGAACTGTGCCAGGCTGTGTCTTCACACTGAGGCTCGCGTGGCCTGGGACCGTGGCAGGTGTGCCTTCACACTGAGGCCCACGTGGCCTGGGACCGTGGCAGCGTGTGTCTTCACGCTGAGGCCCACGTGGCCTGGGACCGTGGCAGCGTGTGTCTTCACGCTGAGGCCTGCGTGGCCCGGGACCATGGCAGGGTGTGCCTTCACACTGAGGCTCGCGTGGCCCGGGACCATGGCAATGTGTCTTCACGCTGAGGCCCACGTGGCCTGGGACCGTGGCAGGTGTGCCTTCACGCTGAGGCCCGCGTGGCCCGGGACCGTGGCAGGTGTGCCTTCACGCTGAGGCCCACGTGGCCTGGGACCGTGGCAGCGTGTGTCTTCACGCTGAGGCCCACGTGGCCTGGGACCGTGGCAGGTGTGCCTTCACACTGAGGCCCACGTGGCCTGGGACCGTGGCAGCGTGTGTCTTCACGCTGAGGCCCGCGTGGCCCGGGACCATGGCAGGGTGTGTCTTTCACGTTGAGGCCCCGCGTGGCCCGGGGACCATGGCAGGGTGTGCCTTCACACTGAGGCTCGCGTGGCCCGGGACCCATGGCAATGTGTCTTCACGCTGAGGCCCCACGTGGCCTGGGACCGTGGCAGGTGTGCCTTCACGCTGAGGCCGCGTGGCCCGGGACCGTGGCAGGTGTGCCTTCATGCTGAGGCCCCTCTGTCCCCCAGAGCAGACTCCTCGGGGAGGCCGCAGTGTGGGCAGGGTGGTCGGGAGGTCCCCTCACTGGCTGTCATTGGGACTTGGCATCAGCCAGTCGCTCAGCCAACGCCAGGGCCGCCTGCGCCAGCTCCGCGGGAGGCCGGGTGCTGAGGCCTGAGCAGACCCTTCCTGACGCCACAGAGCACCTGGGTGACGACCAGGGACACCTCAGCCGACCCCTCAGCCAGGGCCTCCGCTCGGTCCCGGGCCCCTGCCCTTTTGGGGAAACGGATCCAGAGTCCATTGGCGTCTGTAGATCAGATGCGCAGGTCGAGTGCCGGGCGCTGGGAGGCACAGGGGCTGCTGCCACGACCAGCAGTAACCGCCAGCCCGGCCGCATGCCTCAGGGGTTGGGCGTCAGCCTGTGACCCAGGAGGTCCCGGGTTCGATGCCCGGTCAGGGCACAGGCCCGGGGTGTGGGCTCCATCCCCAGTGA